TTTAAATCCCTTAATTAAGGAAACGACACTAAAAAAGATACGAAAAAATAATATTCTTTGGTAATTGTTTAAATTTCTGCACGTTTAAAGTAAGGCCTAATAAAAAAGCCTAATTTACGCATGTGTGGAGTCACACAGTCAAGAATAAAATACTACATTGTGAAATTATTTAATTAAAATTGCAAATTTATGTATATTATTATGTGTACTGTTGATATGTAAGTAGTGCAAAAGAGTACACACTGGCAGATACATCATATATGTGTGCAAATCTTTCATTTAGATTTGAGAGCAAATACTTTGTTATATAGCATAAAATTAAGTTTCGAGTTAATGAAATTAACAAATATCATAAATATTTAAAATGAATAATAAAAACTGCTTCAAATCTTTATTATTGTCTAATAGCGTTTTCTAGATCTATCAAATTTTGTTATCCAATCAAACATTTTTAGAGCAATCTAACATTTTTGTAGTTGTGTTGGTAGATATTTATTTTTTCATAAATATATATGTATTGAATTAAATCACAGTTTTATCTTTCAAAACATATAAATAGCTGTTAATTTCTGTGTGATCTTGCAACTCCGGCTAAATATCTAGAGTGTTATAAATTAATCTCAAGTGTTATATATTTTGCTCCAAATTCACCAGTCGAAAACGCAATAACACAACCCAGATTACGCAAGTTTGGTAATTGCTATCTTCAGGATTTTGGTCAATTTATGAAACCAGAATTTAGTAGTATTTATGTTGTTACTTTCTTTTTATTATGCCAATACCAATCCTAATTACAAAAGGCCATTTTTTCGAAATTCTGTACGAGACTTATTTCTTAAATTTGTTGAAATAGCTAGGTTGAGGTACTGTAATAGATTTTATATGATATCCTAAAAATAATCGATATATTTTGTATATTATTATATATTATAATTTTCTTGACAAAATAATTACTAGAAATTTTAATATTATTCGCTTTTATTCACAACATAGAGCAGAAACAATGCCCTTCTAGCTGTATCGGTCACCATAGAATTTTCTGAGTTGCTGCCGTGATCGTTTAGCTCTTCCCCGTATAATTTTGGGCATTCTTTCTCTTTGAGCGCCCCAAGGTTTTTATGTTGCAGTAGACACTTATTTCAACTTAAATCTACTTATTAACTGAGAGTAGATTTTCATTTTGTCAAAATGTGTCGGATATTATGGATTTATATTTTGTTTATTAATAATTTCAAATTAAATAATATCAAATAATATCTGTGTTTACGGGACACTGGTCCATAGGAAGACATGGAGCTAGACTCGGCCTTTCCTGTGGTACCTCTTGCAGTGCGTGTCTACCAGCTCTTAAAGATATGACACCAGAACACCTGATGCGTTTTTGTCCAGGTCTGGCCAGAACCAGGTTTAAGCTTCTGGGGGCCCCCTTCTTCAACTCACTTAGCGATATCTCCAGCATTAGCATTAGCCAGATTCTTACCTTTACTAATGCCTCTGGCTGGTTTTAGGTTGACCCTCTATCTAATACCCACTATTACGAGTTTTTTTGTGGATTCAAAACAGCTTTCTCTTTTAGCTAATTGGGGAGGTTCTGTACTCCCTACACCACAACTAACTAACTAACTAATATCATAAGCAAAAATATTTATAGTAATTTTATAATAAAGTTTTTCTTTTAAAAGTGATTCATAACATTCTATTCTATTTCTGTTTCTATTTTAATTTCTATTTTAATTTCTATTTTTAAATAATATGAATTCAATAAATTCTTTAATAAAAAATTACAGATTACAAAACTCTTTGAATTATTGACTGCTGGCTAAGTGCTGTTCCAATAATAGAAATAAAATTACAATTGACGTTTTATATGTAAACAATAAAGTGAATTACTGAAAATTGAACGCTCTATTTGTGTATTAAAAACGCTTCATTGATAAACTTTACACTGCAGTCAGAGACAGAAAAGCAATAAAAATAATTTTTGTTTAATTTTTATTATCGCTGCCGTTGGTTGCGCCATTGCCAATGCATTTGAAGTTATACACATACAATCCAATCCAATCCAATTCAATATTGAAATTACAACCTAAAAAAGGGTTTAATAGCATATAAATATATATAGTCGTAAATATACTATTTACTGTGGTTTTAATGATTGATCGATAAAAATGCCAATGCCGCTCCCTGCTAGCCATCTCTTCATTTTACAGCAAAGACTGAAATATGAAAATTACTGACTGACTGATCGCAAAATATAGGTCACTAGTTGCCTAGTACGAAAATCGATGATTATAATGATTTCTTGTTGCTTTTTAAACTTTTTAACAGTGCGGCAATAAATTGTAATCATTTCCTTAAGATAATGTTTAATTAAAATAAAATTGAATAAAATTTTATGAGGAATGTGGAAATTTGTTGATTCGTTACGTTAGAAACAATAGCTAACCAACATCATAAATAAGAGTTGGAATGTAAAATTTTTCCATAATGGCTCTATTGTTTGTTTTTTATTTATTTTAATATATTACTTTAAGTTTTTATTTGAAATAAATTAAAAGAACTTAACTAAAAAAATATTTATGGATTTTATTAAATCCATCAGATGTTTAGATGTTTGGAAAGCAATGCACTTAAACTTTATTGACACCTTTGTGATAGCATATGTTTCCATTAATATCTCTAATTAAATTATTAGACAAAAATTACAGCAATCCTCTAGGGCTTCAAACCCAAATAAAGTCAAAAATCGGAAACCGAAAAAATCGGAAACTGTTATATTTGCCAAAACAAAAACAAGGACATAACCGAAAAAATTTATCAGTTTGTTTCCGACCAGTACATATTGTATAATCAGCAGAAAGACCAGCTAGCTGAAAGTAGTCTAATGACGGAGCTTCAAGGTATAACTTAACGAAAAATCCTAAACCAAAACAAAAACCGATGTTTTTGCCGAAGTTAAAACACAAATTAAACCAAAAAAATACAATACACCAGTTTATTTCTGTTCAACACCTCATAATTCCTCCTTCATTATTCAGTTGTTAAAATTTTATTGAATAAAAGTTGAATGTTTTTGTTTATAGACGCAGATATATAACTGTTTTTATGGCTTAGTTAGTGAAGTTCTAGATGAAACAACATTTTTGCTAATATTAAATATTGTATACATATTTATTCAAGTCTATAGCTCACTACATGATTTATACAAATTGATCAGAATGTTATTCTTTATCTATACATATGTTAAAGTCATTATATTGATTGTCATTTTTAAGATGACTTTTACTCTTCCTTTGATTAGTAACAATTAATGAGCAAATGTTTTAGAAATCTGTGTTGAAAATCATGTGTATTGAAACTCCATCTTTTTTCGTGAGCCCTTTAATCTTTAATGTATATATATATATATATTTATATTATATTATATATAATATATACATCATTATTATTATTATGTTGAGGCTAATTGAGTTAGTGCACTTTTACTCTCCACTAACTGCGAGGTTTCTTCATAACTCTTCTTAATGCCTTAACTGGATTATTGTTTATCACTTCATACTACTTACTTACTTATCAGACTTCAACACCACTTCATCAGAGTAAGCAATAACTGACCTTAGATCTGCATACCTACCAGAGGAGGAACAATTCTGAGATTCGATAACGCGGTGTTGGTAAGCCTGTCAGTTTTTATAATATATATACCATTATATTATATTTATTTATATTATATACATATATATATATATATTCATATCTTTTGTGTATTTCTTAAAATCTTTTGAGTGCTCATTCAAAATGTACCAATATGTATGGTGATTATAAATTCTCATGCCAATTGTGATAATAAAACGATGCGTGCTTTTAAAACTTATAAACCGATTAGTCAAATCATAAGCAAATACAACTGAAAATAGAAAGATAAACACAAATGGTGACAATTCACAGCAGTTTTCCATTACGTTGATTGCATGAGGAATATTTGAAATATCGCACTGGCGTAGAGTATTGAAATGAGTGGTATTCATAAAGTATATGCTTTATTAGAAAACTTCTCAACTAAACAATAAACGCCCAAAATGACCGAATCAATTAATAATCCATTTCTTCTTCGTCCGTTGCTTATACTATACGAACTGCAATAAAAATATACTACATACCGCATTTTAATTAATTTGAAGTGTGGAATGCTTACATCACTGGATATGAATCGAATGAAATTAACAAAATAAAATGCACAGACATATAAACGCGATTAATTCCAAATTAAATTCAATTTAAGTGAAATGTGAAAATGCGTTGAGTCCACATTGATGGAATGGAAAATGCTATTTAAGCATTAAACAAAACGAGCGGCGGTCTTGCTGAATGCTTTATATTAAAATTAAGCTAATTTCGTGTTAAAATAATTCCCTGTTCGCCAGTAGATACATCTGCACTGGAAGCATAAACAAATTCGACCCAATCTCTGATGCATTATTGCCGAACATGTGTGCATTATGTGTTTGAGTAACGTGAGTAAATACGAAAATGACGCCTACAGCAATCAATTAGGAACGGATTGCAAATCAATAATGCATTTTATTTTACAGCACACACAAATAACTTCAAAATTAAAGTGAAATTAGACGAAACAGATTTTGAAACTATTCGAAATCAATTCGTAAACTATAGATCAGCCCGTCATGTTTTAAGCAATTTTTTATTTAAATTGAAAATGAAGTAGAAACTAAATGAACTGATTCAAATGGTTGAACAAATGGTTTCCTAAGTGGAATGGAGTCTACGTACTGAAGCCACTCGTCTTTGAGTCTATGATAACCAAATGTCGTTTATCACTACTACTGAGCAAAGGAAGAGATTTAAATTTATATTTTCCCTAAGGAGAACGGAACGATTTTAACACTCATATATGTATATACATATTAAAAATTAAAACATTTTTTTTTCCGTTGCATTAATTATTGCAGATATATTAAAAATATATTTGTCATTGTAAAATTTTTGAATTTAAACTTACTAAATTAAACAAAAACATTTTTTAAAAAATATGATTCTTTTTCTAAAACTTCAATGTCCCTTTTCTGTTTTCCTCGTCGGATAGTTTAAAATGTTGAAATAAATGAAAGTGAGAAAACAATTAAAAAATAAATATGTAATTGTTTTCAAATTAATTATTTCTTCCCAGATGTTTCATAATCCCGCCCGCCACGTGGAGTATGCATAACATCTTCCCAATCGAAAGTACCGATATTATAGCTGCTCTCATAGTCACTACCACCAGGGTCTCCTCCAGCAAATATATCACTATAATTTAAAGTATAATTAATTATTTTTTTTTTGTCAAATTTATTATAAAAAATTGATTCTGGAACTTGAATATTACCGTGCTTCATGGAAAACTTCATTTTGACAAACACTAAACATTTCTTTCAAGTGAGTAATATTGAAATTATTGTGAATCTCACAAGCAGCACCCATAATACACTCAATGATACCATTTAGAGACGTGAATGGTAATTTTTGAGCATCACCTTCCCAAGAATACTGAGCCAAAAGGTCCTCCTCGAAATAAGTATGGAAAATGGTTTTAATTGCCTCCTCAGCATTTAGAATTTCCAGGTGTAGTTTGACCATAGCACGTTTATTTAATTCCATTTGGGTTACTGAAGAACATAAGCGACGATTAAACGTAATTGCCTGCTCATGTGTCTTTAACTTGAAGCAATACATGAAATTCTCATCCTCCCACTTGATGATATTCCTATTGCTTAGAATTTTATTGCAATGGCCACATTTGGAACATTTAATGTCCTCAGCAAGACTGAAACTGCATTCTTTGATTTCATTGATTCTCAAATAAAATCTGATACCGGCAGCCATAGTGTTTACTTATCTTTCGTTAGATAGCTAAAGTTGAATAGAGTTGAAAGAATTTTATAAAACTTGATATATAAAAATAACTGATTTCTAATTTAAAAACAAAATATTCAAAGACTATGTGTTGAATAAATTTTTATTTTATTTATTTAGTTTGAAAAAGATATACCTCCAGCTCAAACAGTACCCGGATTTTGTAAATAAAACACATAAATTTAAATTTTATTCCAAAAATCCAATCTTCCTTTTCGTAGGCTTGTGCAGGTATGGCTTTTAGTTCCTTTGGGAACAGAAAAAAGTTGCACGACGCCAGATCTGGCGTATATGGTGCCTGAGCGATGACAGTGGTGCCGTGTTTGGTCAAAAAATCGCGTACAAGAAGTTAGTAAAAATTTTCGTAGTAAAAATCGCTAAATGCACTTGAGGTAGTCTCACATTAACAGCTGCTGTAAACAAACTAATTGACAGATGGCGCTCAAGTTTGTACCATATGTCAAGAACGTGTGTACCAACATAACGCAAAAAAATTTTTAAAAAAGGTCTCCTACTTAAGAAGTAGTTAACAAACAACAAAATCCGGATACTTTTTGAACAGAAGGTATTAAATTGACAAGTAATCAACTGACGGAACTGATTGATTTAATGCATTTATGCTCTTCTGTTAAGTTTATATTTCACAGTTCTATAGTTTTTAATTCAGAACAATGGAATTTTGATACACATATTTTGTAAATAAAATAATGAAGTCAAAATATCCAAAATTGCATTTATACTATATAGATGTGGATTGCATTATGAAAAATATATTGCAGTAATTGAAATTCTTTATATGTGCAAAAAGAAAACTATTTTACCAATATAAGAAAATCCTTAGCACTAAAATAATATATATAAAAATACATGTATATAGGTATGCGTGTATGTATGTAATTAACAATGAAATATTAAGCTCCACCCTTAAGGCTTATATTAAGATATTGTGGCAATATAATAAAAACGTACCATGATTCAAAATGTTAAATAGATGAAAATTCAAGAATTTTAGATTTTTTTTAGTTTTTTTACATGTATAAAAGATTTTAATCGTATTATTACATGCAATGCATATCATGAATCAGTTTTAAGTAACCCGTACCCGAAAAAAAAATATAATCGGTCACTACGAAGTCGTAGAACGTATACCTATATACATATGTAACAAATGTAATATATAAAAAGTATTTCAAGACGTAAAATCGAACTCTTTAAAATATACTTAGAAAAAATTTGCTAATACTAACTAAAGCTGACAGATAATCAGATGTTAACGACGGTTTGGTATAAAAACCAAGTACGAGTACTCAATGTGAAAGAATATGTTATTAACGATTGATGCTTAAACTTAATGAAAATGAATGAAACTAGGTTTTTAAAAATGAGGTATCTCCTCTATTGAGGCTAGAGACTATTTTAACAATCACAACAGCTCGTACTGACAATTAATTTCTCTTATTAAAAGAAGTATAAAAAGTAAAATTTAATATGTCGTAATAATTTAATATGTCGTAATAATTTAAGTACACTTAGTATAATTTTGATTAACTAGGTTATTATATTTAATTTATTTCTAATTTAAATATAAATCTAATTTAAAACAATGGGAGTAATTTCAAAGCATTTGTATATCGGGGATAAACACTGTCAAAGAAATACAACTATAACATATGTTATTGTAAAAAGTTAAAATTTTTCATTGTGATATACTACAAACTACTTCAAACTTGGAAATTATATACTTCTTCCCTATATTGGATTGGTCACTATTACTATTTTGTTTTTGTTTTTTATCACTTGCTACCAAAAATTTATAATCGAGGTTGGAAAAACCAAAGGATTTGTATTGAATATAAGAAAACTGATTTGATAAATAAAAATCGGTTTTTGTTTGATCATCATGACCTGATCAGGGAAAACATAATTTTGTTAAAACTCATGTTAGCTCAACACCTGAATAGAACCCGATTTTTAAGTACAATTATCTGGAAGTATTTTCCAGAGCAAATATCGAAATTTAAAATTCGCATTTGCTTTGTCAAGTCCACGTTTATCGCAAAGTTTCTTTAAGTCTAATAAAAAAAATCTATTTTAAATATTTTCTTTATATTTTTTTTTTATATTTAGTGTATGATGCAACTAAATGCATTAGTTTTTGGTGATATAAACTTACGGCAGTGACTGATATAATTATCTGTCGGATTAAGCCAGTCCTTGCAATTCTCTTTATATAAACTGTCTATTCAATTATATCCAGTCTATATTTTAAAAATAAGTAAGTATATTTATACTAGTTACCTGGTTTAGTCAATTTATTAGTCCGGCGTGTGGTTCTTATTTTTGTAGTTATGTAACCAATATGAAACTTATTAATTACAAAATGTATTTTTTGTGTTTATGAAATATAAAATAAATATATGAATTTATATTTTGGAAAAAAAAAAACAAAAAATACATGGTAACTAAGTTTGCTACTGGTACAATTACAAATTTCTTGATTTTTTTTAAACATAAATCATAATTTATCAATCTTAAAATATACTTGTGTTAAAAGTACTTCATCATAATTAACTACAGAGAAATGATTTGTTGTCTTTCGATGTATTAATTTGGATCTAAAAATGGCTTTTCGCTTAGGTTGAAACTCACAATATTGCTATAGAACAGTAGACTTAACTGAAAATAGATTTTAACAATTTTAATGAACATTATGATGCGGCATTATGCCTAAAGCCCACTTGAGCTCAAATAATGGCTGACTCAGAAATAATAATGGCTGAGCAACGCAGAAATGCACAATTCCCCCATTTAGGGGAACTCAATTCTATCAACTTGTCTAAGAAAAGAGGTCCCGAAGATTTCAGATCTTCTCCTAGATAAGAATGGACACTGACACTGGGTTGGAGTACAGTTTGCTCCTTATCCGCAGAGCCACAACCTCGAGAAAAGTCATAATAAGATATACCCAGTTTCATAGTATGTTTTCCTATTAAGCAGTAACCAGTTAGTACCAATACTGTACTGCTGAGTAGGTTACGCCTTAGTTGAAATAAATTAAACGGGTTCATTTTTTATACAGTTTTAGACCAGGTCAGTTTAGAGATCTGACAGCAGGGTTTATTGGATGTATTGGTGCACCGATGAAAAAAGTATGTTTTCATTTATTGTTTTTTTACGTATGACATAACTATCTATAACTATCTGGTTATCTATTAGTAAATTTAAAGTCACTTCCAGTTTCAACCCATATACTTTACTTAATCTGTAAAAATCATTATAAGACTCTACGCAAACTAATGAGACATGAAAAAACAGTGTAGCGTATAATAGAAAAATAATGTAAATTATGATTATGAAATGCAATTTTAAAAATGCATCCAAACGTGTGTGTTGCCAACTTGGATCCAGCGTAATTGTTGGCTGAGCACGTGTTGATGTGGTGTAAGCGTATACACGTTAGTGTTCCACCATTAAAGGTGCGCTTAAATGGACAAAAGCTAACGGTTTTTAGTCGTTTTATTTTTTTATTTTGTTTTGAATTTGCTGAATCAGAAACACACATTCGTGGGCAAAAAGAATTATGCTTGAGCATTTTTTTTTTTTTGTATCTAATTTAGTTCTTGTCTTCTTCTGCTAGCTCATGCAGAAGACTCACGTTGTATCTGACTTGTTTAGCAAATTCGATTCTTTTCTACTTTTTTTCTTTTTAAATATTACGCAGCGCAGCTACTTAATTTCGTATCTGTTGTTGCCAAAATGTGTAAACATTCTAGTTTGGAATTTACATTTTGGGTTATTAAACTCATAAGAATAACTACGCGAAAATTTTTATGCAGAGAAGATCCACGCATAAATACACACTCGAACCAGAATTCTAACCACTCACACACGCATTTGTGGCCAGAATTAAGTAGGCGATTAACCAAATATTCCAACCATAATTGCTGCTAATGTAAACATTTGTACACCGGATATTAGTAAATAAATTAAAAACGAAAAGATATTTATGTGCGACTAACAGTGCAATGCAAATTTAATTTTATAATTTTATTTATTTTTCTTTGTTTATAAAAAAAATCAAAATCAAAAACAAAGACAATTTAATACGTAATCAAATTTTTTGTTATTTAAACAAAGTTACTTCTTCGCTCAATTAACATAATGAAAAGAAAATAAAATTAAAAAATTAAAACATTAATGAAATAGAAAATATTTCATTTTTACTTTTGTTAACTTTTTTGTCGCTTTTGGTGACAGCTTAAATGGTCTGAAAATACCAGGTAAAAGTATGACATAATTTCACTAAATGATAGTTAATCGCTACTGGCATTTTAATCTGATAAAAGTAAAATGAAATGTAGAATACCAAAGAGAAATAAATTGATTTTTATAATATTATACACAACTCAATAGTGGGTGTTTAATTAAAGAAAAATCAATTAAAACATCTTATATCATTTGCAGATTGTGTATTACCTTAAACCAAATACCTTCAAAAAGTATCCGGATTTTGTTGTTTGTTAACTACTCTTTAAGTAATAGACCTTTTTCAAAATTTTTTTAAGTTGGTACATCCTTTCTTGACATATGGTACAAATTTGAGCGCCATCTGTCAATTAGTTTGTTTACAGTAGCTGTTAATGTGAGACTACCTCAAGTGCATTTAGCGATTTTTACTATGGAAAATTCTTGTTGTACACGATTTTTTGACTAAACGCGGCATCACTGTCATCGCTCAGGCACCATATTCGTCAGATCTGGCGTCGTGCAACTTTTTCCTGTTCCCGAAACTCAAATTGCCTCTTCGTGATAAGCGTTTTGAGTCGATTGAATAGGTAACAGAGAATTCGCTGAAGGAACTGGCCTACGAAAAGTGTATGGAAGATTGGGTTAAGCGTTGGCATATGTGTATCGCTTCAGAAAGAACATAAAAATTAATTTGGTGTAAAATTTAAATTTGTGTGTTTTATTTTCAAAATCCGAGTACTTTTTGAGCAGAAGGTATGTAAAAAAAATTATTTTTATTGTAATTAATTAACTGATTATTATTATTATTAGGACATATTTGTTTTTTTACAAAATAACAAATTTAGTCTATTTACAAAGAATATTTTATGTACATTGAATTTACAAATGCTTTCCAGTTATTGTGCTGACGACTATTGCTCTAAGCTCGATAAAAGATTTTCTCGTTCCGCTTGTAACAGTTCTGTGCCAAGTATTTTTCGGCCTACCTCTTCCTTACCTGCACTGTGGGTTCCACCCTAACACTGCGTGGTATAAGTGATATCTATATAAATATTAAACATTCATAGCAGATCTATTACAATATACAGTTAAATTTCCATAACTCGAACTTCTATAACTCGAACTAAATAGAGTGCAACAGGGTTTAGAGAGCAAACTACATACAATTACAAAAAAATGCTTTAACTTGAAGTCTATAAGTTGAACATTTTATTTTATTTGTGAAATGCTAATTCGAGTTATGGAAGTTTGACTGTATTTTAAAAACCACTTACATAGTTGAAGACCGCGGAAGAGAAACCTTGCTAATTAAATGGTCTGTTCACATCGGCTGCTATCCTGATATATTTCTACTATTAAAATTATAAAATAAAATTATGAATATTGATAAAACAGAAACTGTATCTCTCAAATTCGCCAAAAATAGAATAAACAATTTAAACATTCGTTATGAATTTTAAACACTTAGATGCATTAACTTAACAAATGATCTACTCCTAGAATTAAGAAGTAATAATTTGAAATCGCCTATCATAAAAGCCATAAATGGAATTCTTGGGTATATGACAAAGAAATTCGAAAACGAATATGAGAGAGATTCATAATCTGTAGATCTGTTTATGCAAGTTTTAAAGAAATAACATTAAATAATCAATTTTTATTATTAAATAATAGGCTATGTATGCGCCCGATCCTAAAAGATCTATTGTGCGCCTAACAGCCCAACTAAAACAATTCTAGACTATTTATCAATCTCGTAATTGCCGAGGGCTTAATTTTACCTATTTGATTTGGAACTAAGATCCCGCTTCTAAGGTAATCAAGTCTACGTCTTGCCATCACTGGGCAGTTGCATATAATAAGTTCTGATGTTTCCTTCTCCTCACGAAAGAAGGATGTATTAAGTACTACCTTTACTTTGATAAAATATTTCTAAGAATTTTAATACAAACTTCAAAGACATTAAAACATTTAAAACCATTTAGCTAACAAGCCATCTAATTAAAATTTGATAATACTCAACTTTAAATCAAAGCTTTCGAAAGGATCTACTCGAAATCTATTAGCCTTCTAGATATTTACATCTTTAAAGTTTAGCAGTTTAATTGTACAATAACATTACTCACAACGTGACGTGATCTCTAATAGAAGAATAATTTTAATCGAAAAAGTCATTACCGACGCTGGAGTCAATAACTACCGGGCTAAAAAGGTGTTTCGTCTATACAACTACAGTACAGCATACTTCGTCAGTATAACATAGCTGAGGTTGTTAATTGTTTTTTTGACGTGTCATCATCTTAACAATTCGGATCTGTTTTAGTAGACTGAATGTTAACTATGATAGGAAGTTGTTGAAACGTTTAGTAACATTATTTATTCGGTTTTAATCTGGGCCAGGAGGAGAATTCAAGAATGGTTTATTTTTAATATATCCGTCTATATATATATATATATTGCCACTTTCTGAGTTCGTGTTCTTTGTACATGTCATCTCAAACCATTATGTTAAATTATTTTATTATATTATTTTGTTCTATTTGATGATCGCCAAAAACTAGCTCATTTATTATGATTTAATGGTCCTTTCTTCTGTATGTAAAAATTGGGCTTGTCAGAGACTTTTCTGATTTCTTGATAAAATTTGATATTTGAAAAGTTTTATTTTCTCGAAAAAGGTTCTGTTCACAGCTTGAACTCTATTATGTATTGTTGCTGTTCTATCGTCTTTTGAACTTCTTAACTCTTAATCAAGTATAAATAAAATTATTTTATGACACATATGAATTAATATAAACTGTTTATTATTAAGTCTGGTCTTTGTTCTTAACATATGCTTTGTTTGAAAAATTCTATTTTTAGTACATAGGTACATTTTTAGTAGAGACTTTGACCTTACTCAATGTGGTTCTTATCACCCTGATGTTTTTCACTGTATTAATAATGTTGTCATCATAGGTGATTATCTGCATATCTTCAATGAAATTACTCATATCAGGCTAATTCCTATAATAGTATAAATTTTACATTAGGTTTAAAATTATATAAAATTGGAGTGGAGTATATGTCCAGCCTAAAAATGTTAAATTATTATTGTTTAAAATTCTTTTATTTATGTTTTTTATATTGTGTTTTTT